ACCTTTGCTGTTTCATAGCTTCAGAGTGTCTACAAGTCCGGAAAGTCCGGAAATAGTACTGATTTTTAAGGGCGTACCGGAAGTACTGAAAAAGTGCGGAAATTCCGCATGAAGGTCCGAGATTTTTTTCATTTTTTGTCACTTTTGTCGCCTTTTAAGCGAGAAATTCAAATCTTTGAAATTCTTCAATTGGAGGCACTGAAAATTCCTGTTAAGAAGGTACTGAATTTCATAGGAATGTACTGAAAAAGTACTGTTAAAGTCCTGATTTTTGGCCAACCTATTTTAGTAGACAATCTGTTGTGTTTCACTTCCTATACTAGCCAAAAGTAACACAAGAACACAAATATTTTTACCAGTGTAGGTACTCTACCTTTGCTGTTTATAGCTTTTAAATGTGGTTCATTTTTTCGATGCGACTGTCGAAAAATATGGGGAGTCTTACGGGAAATTCAACAGTTTTCTCGTTCGATTTTGCAACGTAGGGACGGGACTGAACGTGGACGGTTGAGCTTGAGTGTGCGACACGAGCCCGAGCGAGAACGACGACGTGGAATGAAAGTATTGAAAGTCGGGCACCGAGTCCTGGCTCCAGTCTGCCAACCCGCCGATTCGGCAAGTGAAAGTTCCTTGTCGAGAACTTTAACGCCCGCCCTCCCGAGCTTCAAAGTTCACCTCCGGCTTCCCCAAAAAGAATAATCTGAATCTTCTTTGCGGGTCTGAAAGATCCAACTTTGATCAACCAAGGGCGAGTTTTCAGAAAGGAAGTAGGGAAAAAATGTATGTTGTTTAGTTTCAGGTTGGAAAAATAAAATATTAGGCGGTTATTAATCGCTAATGTCGGTCAAAGCCCTCAAATGGATGTCAATTCCCTGCGTTTTAGCCGCTTACTCAACGGAGTAACATCACAGTCAGCCAGTGATAACGGCGCCTGTCGGTGCGCCACTTCCATCACTGAGAGCTGTAAGAAAATCGAAACGCCCTCATTTTTTCGGGTATGCAACACGGACATCCTTCGAGTTCGAATAGTTGCATCCGAGTGTCCGTGTGAATGTCGCGTCCGTTAGCCGAGAACCGAGATACTATTAAATTGATAAATTGAACTTCCGTTTGTGGAAAGCACGCAGTAGTCTCTTCTTTATTCTTGTAAAGAACGGCAATTATAGAGCATAATTTTTACGAACAGATGTAAAAAGACGGACTCAGGCAAAATGTGCCACGAGATGGAAACATAAATTATTGTTCAGCACAGCAAATATAAAAAAAAAGAAAGAAAAAAAAAAAAAAAACTTGTTCGGGACCACAAATTTCGATTTTTGTTTCTTCAATGCTAGACACACTCCAATACTCTAAAGGTCATAACATCTATACATTTAATATCCTAAGGCTTTTTTTGTCCTCCTTCGATCGCGGAAACTACTCGACCGATTTTCCTCGGGTTTGATTTAAACGAAAGCTCTTTACTTGTAGATGTGACAGCTCCGCATCCCTTAGTTTTCCGACTTGCGCGGATTCCTTAACACATTTCGTAAGTTTTCCTATGAGCTACTAAATTATTGATCGATCGATTTCATTCGTGGAAGACTGGTAGTGACATTTTTTCTCTTAGCAGAGTGTCTACAAGTCCGGGATTTCCAGAAAGTCCGGAAATAGTACGGATGTTTTAAGGGCGGTTCGGAAGTACTGGAAAAGTGCGGAATTCCGCTAGAAGGTCCGGAATTTTTTCGTCTTTTGGTCAATTTTGTCGCCATTTGAGCGAGAAATTCCAATTTTTAAAATTATCGAATTTCATCAACTTACTGGAGGCACTGAAAAAGTACTGAATATTTCTATGGAGGAGGTACTGAATTTCTTGGGAATGTACTGAAAAAGTACTGTTAAAGTACTGATTTTTGGCCAGCCTGTTTTAGTGGACACCCTGCCTAGAAGGTTCGCTGCCCTTTTGGGCCCTTGGAGCTTCATTTGTCGAAATTTCCGCTCTCTCCACATGTAGGCACTCTACTTTTCTCCTTCTTTTCACCAGTGCTCCCATTTCCCGGAACTAGTTCCTCATTCCGGAACTTTTGAGATTTCCCTGTATTTACTTCCGGACTTTTCAAAATTTCTGAAATATTCCGGATCTTTTGCATTTCCCGGAACTTTTGAAAAAATCTAAACGGAATCCCCGAACTTTTGACGGTCATGGACTTGGAGAAATTGAAGCAAAAAAGTTCTGAATCCCGGAACTTTCGACGGACGTGGAATGGGAGCACTGCTCCTCACAATCTCAACCCGCAAACCAGGATTTTCCTGTATTTACCCCCGGAACTTTCAAAATTTCCGAAATATTCCGGATCTTTTGCATTTCCCGGAACTCTTTCGGAACTTTCGAAAAAATCCAAAAAGAATCCCCAAACTTTTGACGGTCATGGACTTGGAGAAATCGAATCAATAAAGTTCTGAATCCCGGAACTTTTGAGGGACGTGGAATGGGAGCACCGCTCCTCACAATCTCAATCCGCAAACCAGGATTTTCCTGTATTTACAAACTTTCAAAATTTCCGAAATATTCCGGATCTTTTGCATTTCCCGAAACTAGTTCCTAATTCCGGAACTTTTGAGATTTACCTTTATTTACTTCCGGACTTTTCAAAATTTCCAAAATATTCCGGATCTTTTGTATTTCCCGGAACTTTTGAAAAAATCTAAGAGGAATCCCGGAACTTTTGATGGTCGTGGACTTGGAGAAATTGAAGCAAAAAAGTTCTGAGTCCCGGAACTTTTGACGAACGTGGAATGGGAGCACTGCTCCTCACATTCTCAACCCGCGAACAGAATACGATTTTCCCGGCACGGCCGGCGCTCGGCGGACGATCCGGTTGCCCCGGGAAGCACGGCCGGCGCACGTCCCAGCCGGAGCCGCCGCAGGAGCCGAGTCTATTTACACCCGGTCCTACCCATGCGAGGAAACCGGTTCCGATCCGACTCCGACCGACTCGACTCTCGTCGTTCGACCCGAGCAAAATTCCTCCGCCGCCCCCCCCCNCCCCCGCCGCACAATGGATCGAGTAAATAAGAGAGGTCGGACATGATATTTTTTGACAATTGTTTACGTTCATTTTGTCACTTTTTGAATTTCTAGGGGTGTTTTTAGAAGAATTTTTTTACGAGGAAAGTCCAGGGTTGCCGCAGTCAGGAATAGCGGGAAAATCGGGAAATGTCAGGGAATTTTAAAAAGTCAGGGCAAACCTGGAAATGTCAGGGAAAATGACGAAAATTCAAGGAAAATTGTCAAATCACCGTCATTTGTTTTCTCGAGTGGATTTGACCTTTCGAACAAGAAATACCGGAAAAACCGGGAAATGTCAGGGAATTTTAAAAAGTCAGGGAAAATGACAAAATTCAGGGGAAAATTGTCAAATCTTTTTTATTTGCTTTCTCGAGTGGGTTTGACCTTTCGAACAAGGACTTTTGCCTGAAAACTATTTCTGACTGTCTTTCTAAAAATCTAGCACTCGTTCAATTGTCAGGGAATTCCGCCAACATGTGCAGGGAATTTCATTTTCCAAACTCTGTGACAACCCTGGGAAACCGATGGAGCCATTTTTAGAACCTCAAGCTCCAGTATAAACAGAATTATAAGCGTTTAAAATTTCCAAATTTCGTCCGACCTCTCGTATCAACTCGATCCACTGAGCGACGTTTCTTATGCGCGCCCGCCCGGGCGTAGCCCCCCGTAAAATGCAAAGGAACGCCCGTTGCGACCGACGGCGGGGGGAAGGAGGGGTGATGTAGAGGGAGGGGGGGTCGCGAATCATCCGCGGATGAGTCGGCGATTCGCGGGCGCATCGTGAGCCGTGTCATTTTCGGAGGACTCCTTTCGGGTGTCGATGCCGATGCGGTGACCCGGCTAAAGTGGCACGCCACCGGTATCACCGGCGACGATGAGGTTTCACGGTGCATTGAACCCGGGGAACAGCGGGGGCGTCACTGCAGTCGATTCTGGGAGGGGGGGGGGT